TAGTAGGAAAGAAATATAATACCTTTTTTTTACCTATCTGCATTAAAATTAAATTTTCAAATTTTAATGTAACATTTTATCATACTCTCTGATTTTGTTTTAAAAAAATTATTTTAAGTAAATTACATAAATTAAAAAAATATTGTAAGTAGTTAATGTTTTAATTTTAAAAAATTAATCACAACAGTTAAATTTGTCTTTATTAAAAATAAAACTATATATTACAATGTTAATAGTCAAGAAGTAACTTGAAGTGGTTAATTTTAAAAGGATAAATATGTGAAAAGGTATATAATACTTCTAATATTACAATGTGTTTTATTTTTAAGTTTTTATAAATAAATTTTTAATATGTGTTAAAAGGCACATAATAAAATGCTTTTATTAGTTTATTTAAATTTCACTAATTTTATAATAATATATAAATAATTTTTATATATACATTGTAATATTTATAATATTATATTAAAAATTAAATTTTAAAATTTATAATATTAAATATGTTATGTGATTTTTTAAATACAAATTTATTTAAACAGTTTAAGAGCTTATTTATAAAAAAGTTTAATGTTTCATTAAATGTCTCAATGTAAATTAAGATATAAAAAGGTTAATACCAAACTAGATCCGTTAAAAAATTAAGTCAAAATTAATAAAAAAAGTATATGATAAAAAATAGGTAAGATTTAAATTTTAAAATTATTAAATAATTTAAGTGTACAATACAAAACTTAACTTGACTTAACCTTTTTTCCTTCATAATCTCAGTTCTAAGGGTTAAATTTAAATATCTATAAATAATAAAAGAATGAAAAATATAGCACTAATACGAAAACATTTAATAGCTTGGCCTATAAGCAAAGGTTGAGGAAGGAAAAGAAGAAAGTGGAACTTAATGTGGTAGGCGCAATAGGTGGTGAAGTCCACTGTGCACCAAATCTAGCCATTGATCAGCATGACAAAACAAACTGTTTATAAATCGTCCATCGAGTAGTTTTGATGATTTTAATGAATGTATGTCGATACCTTTAAACATGAATGGCAATGAATGCTGAACAAAAACCTTAAAGTTTTGGTCCCCCTATTCCATGGAATAGTGCATGTGAAAATGTTTCTATGGCTCTACCTTTAACACTAAGGAGGACCCCTCCTTAATCAATAATTCATATTTTTTAGTGCGCGTCTATAATACAAATTTATTATTTTTATGCTTTAACTCTCTTATATATTTAACTTACACTGCTTATATTTTAACTACAACTGAAATTAACTAATTTAAAAATTTAATATATTGATCATTCTAATATTATGTTTTTAAAAGATATTTTTATTTATTGTATAATTTTAATCTTATGTTAAAATATAAATTAAATAAATATTCTCCCGATGGATGATAGCCATGCTTAGATGCTGATCGAAGCTTACGTATGGGTAGATTTAATTTAATAACTTTGCTATATTCTCGTAAGACTCCTAGTGCTTTATAAAATAAGTATTAAATGAAATTGTTTATTCATTATTATATTGAAAATTCAAAATATATTAGATATTTTTTATTTAGTAATTAGAAAGATTTATAGGAATAAGAATAAGAGGATTCAAAATTATCCTTAATTTAATAATAATAGATTAAAAAATGCAAACCACACAGGTTGAAAAATAATTTTTTTACTAAAAATGTAATAAAATACTTTTTTTATAATTTGTAATACAATGGATACAAAATTTAATAAAATGTATATTCTAATAAAGAGAAAATATATTTATAACTAAAAATAATTTGTTTATAAATGATTATAAATTATTAAGGAATATAAAAATTATTAAGGTATGAGAGTTTTTTTTTCAAATATATCATAATTAATAAATTAAATTATAGTTGTTAATAACGTTAGAATGAATATTTTATGACATGTTAAAATATAAAAATTCATATCAAAATATTTTGAGTTATAAATAAAATCAAGTGATTTTTATTTCTATCGTACTCAAATTATTAACAATTTCATATCTTATACATTAATAGGTTACAAAATATTTAAAAAGTATAAATCTGGTTATATTTTTTAATATTAATTTTTTAGGTAATGAAAAGTATTGAAAACGTGTAATTAATTTCTTTTAAATTATACATCGAATGTACATAATAAAAAATATGATAAATTATGTTGATTAAATTTTGTTAAAATATCAAATAGATATATTTTTCTCTTTAATGAATTTAATTATCTACGTTATTGAACATTATTTTTCTCTCTCTACATGTCTAATCAAAATTAATGCATCGATAACTTATATTGATATTTTTATCGACGAAAACCAATGTAATATTAAATTAATAATAAAAAACAATTTTTTACTGTAAATATAATATTGACTAAATATTTTTTATTTTATGAAATTAGATTGATAATTAAATTTTAATATACACATAAAATTATAATATAATTAAAAATATGAAAGACCGATTCAAATTTAATTACAAAGCAATAAAAAATCCAAATTGATTTTGAAAGAGGATGGATTGCGTTGGTTGTCTAAGCAAAGGGGTCTCCTTGTTTTCTTATCTGTATTGAATTGAGGACTAAATATGACGATATGCCATCATTACCATGATTTCACCCTCAGATTCATTGTTTCATCATAAGTGACTTGAATTTTACCTAATTATACTTTTTTTTTTTCTATCATTTACTTATTACTTTATATTATATTATATTATATTATATTATATATATATATATATGAGTTTTCAAAATAATATTTTTTTCAAAAAGATTTCCTTCCACTGGATGTGGTTTTATTGATCTTGCTTTTGTATTTATAACAGAGTGTATATTTAAGAAACAGTCCATTTATATTTTACTAACTGAAAGCTCATATCTTATATATTACTTGAAGTGTGCTTAGCTGAGTATAGGCGAAATAAAAATACAAAAAAGCTTTATATAAAATTCTCTTTGTATATACTTTCTTGGTGCAAAAAAATAAAATAAAATGCGGATGTTAAAAGTTTAACGTGCATTATTATGGCTCTTTTGAAATAATCTTCAATTAAATATTTATTTTCCGTACCTTCTAATTATTCGATAAAGCACAGCTGCAATATAAAACCAAATTTAGTAACAACCACTTTACATATGCAACACAAAATTGACTTATCTATCAAAAATAACAAAGTTAATTTTTTGGAAAAGTTTTTTCCTAACAACAAATGTTGCGAAAAGTTTATATAACCTAATTAAAATATTTTGAAGGCTAATCCATATTTAATTATGAAAGTTTCTTATAAATTAAGCAAATCCGTGATGCCTTATAAAAGGTTTGATAAAATTACAAGTTACTATTATACTATTTATAATAATTTTTTGTTGGATAACTTTTGTAAAAATTATTTGATGCCTTATTTATATACATTAATGTAATATATATATTTAAAATTTATAAAAATAAAGATCCTCTGATAAAAAATTTATAGATAGTTATTCTTACAAAATTTGACACAAATAATTTAGTTTAACAATTGGATAAATAAAAAATATTATATATATAGGGGTAAATTACTAGATTTGTGATAGAATTATTTTCTTTTATGTGAATGATTTCTTCCCTAACATGCATCAAAGTTTCTTGGATCTTTCGAGAAATAACAGACATGGACGATGGGCCATAAGTTAAGAGCCAGAAAGATCAATGATGAGCATTCCATCATACTTTCATGTAAAAATTTAAAAATTGGTATGAACATTTGACTCTTAAATTGAAAAAAAAGACATGAATGAGAAAAAGGAAAACAAAATAGCGTAGTCCTGGTCTTGGTCGTGAAGCGTGGCCATAATGAATGTGAGAAAAGAGGGAGAAGACATTAGAAGATTTAGGTATATTGGCCCACTAATTAGTGCCTTTTCGCTTTATCGTTTCCTCGCATGTGCCCCGTTTTTTCTCCCTTGAACATCAATAGGTCCATACCATCAATCTTATAGCAGAAAAATATACAACATTTTGTACAAATGTTCAAACTAATCATACTATATATTCTATATAAAAGATACACATTTTACCAATTATATAGTTTTTGGCTTCTAGAGAGTCAATCTAATTCTAGACAATTTCTTATGCCAGGGATTGCGTAATAGAAACTTTCAATCATTATCATATTTGAAAAAATGGTGGTATATTTATTTCTGTTTGGCAAGAAAAAAATCAGTGGCCCAGAAATAAATGCAGTATAGTGATAAATAATAATTATTGCAAAAATTATACTTACACAGATATATAATCACACAAAGTTAAATATGGAGTATCAATAGTTCAAAGAAAAAGCAAGAGAGAGATGATAATATGCGAAGATTTTTCAGAGAGAAAAGTCTACGTGAATATTGTATCTTACAATTGAAAGTTCAGAAAATTAGTCGTCATGGAAAATACTATGTTCCACTTACATTCAAAAGGATTGAAAGTAAATCATTGTTGGTTTTGAAAAATTTTCAAGTATTTTAGCTATATAAATCACACATACGACAATTCAATAATCTAAGATAAACAAAATGGTATAAGGTGACCGTAAGTTAAGAGAATAGGACCCCATAAATTGAGTATTTTTTGTTTGTTTCTTCTATGGTTTTGACAATGGGTTGGGTGTGTGGAGAAATGGGAAAGGTATGCGTGGACGGATGGATGAACATGGCATGGAAGATGGTTATGATGCATGAATGAAGAGGACATAGATGATGGATGGGATGGGCATGGGAAGCAAATCTTAAAAGGGAATCAAAAGAAATTGGCCTCTCTTTGCCACCACTCTCCCCCACCTGCCCAAGATATGGTAAGCGCCACATGATTTCACACCCAAAGAAAAAAAATAAAGGCACCATTGCTGACCTCACCTGTATCTCTTGAAGGGATTTTTATGGGTCCCACTCCCACCCTTCTCTTTCCCCACCCTCCTCCCTTTTCTCTCACATTCCTTTCCTCTTTTGCTTTCATCCAACTTTCTAATTTCACTACATTTTTTCTCAACCCCCTCTTTGTGTGTATATAAGATATAGGATTTATATAAATAAAGGTCACTTCTTCTCTCAACCCTCAACAACCTAAAAAATATTCACTAGGATTTATTTCTTTATTTTATTCATTTAATTATTTGTTTCTAGTCTTTATCATATAATTTTGCATTGCTTGCCCTGTAATTCAAGATCAACTTGGAAAATTTGCAAGATTTGGGATGAAATCTGGTCGGATCTTGCTTTGTGGGATGGGGATTTTGGTGGGTCTTATTTCAATACAAAGCTCTTCTTCCCATTTCATATCCCTCCCATAGAGAACAACAGCACACCAAAAAAAAAAAACCATCTTTTCTAATTCCATCCTCAGGCTCAGAAGGAACACAAGTTACACCAACCACCCTTTTTCCAATTCATTGTTTCTTCACTTTTTCTTCAATCAATTAAGGTTCCACTTTGTGTTCTGAGTTGGAGCAAATGGGGATGGCTGCAGAGTCACAGTTTCATGTGTTGGCTGTTGATGACAGCCTCATAGATAGGAAACTGATAGAGAGGCTTCTAAGAACCTCTTCCTATCAAGGTACTCTCTTTCAGCCCAAACACACTGAAATCTGAGAAAAAAATTTGATCTTTTTGTTTCGTAGATTGGTCCTTACAATGTTTTCTCAATGGCAGTTACTACAGTTGATTCTGGTAGTAAGGCTTTAGAGTTTCTGGGTTTGCGTGAGAATGATGAGAGCAACCCAAATACACCATCTGTTTCTCCTAACAATCATCAGGTATGGTTTTGTTTTTCTTCATAAAATGTATAAAGGTGTTTTAATTTTTAATCAAGTTGTTTAAGCATGTGTTTTTTTAACCACAGGTGAGTTTCTTTTTCTGGGATTCTGAAACTCTTTTGGATTTTTGTGTCTTTATAGGAGGTGGAGGTGAATCTTGTTATCACTGATTACTGTATGCCTGGCATGACAGGCTATGATTTGCTAAAGAAAATCAAGGTATGCTTTGGTTTCTATTCCTGTCTCATCTCTCTTTAACCATATATTCCCTCCATTTTTTTTCTCAGTCTGTGGCTAAGATTGTTTTTCCTTTTTACTAACAAAGGCCCCTTGTTAAAAGACTTTCCATTTTGAAACTATGCTTTCATTGTAATTTGCTATTGCTGAAAGTTGTCAACTTGGACTAGTTTCATTACAAGCCACAAAATATCAAGTATAATAATCTGTTGGAATAAATCTCCTATCTACTTTTCAGTTTTCCACCCAAAACAAATCGGGTTCAATATATGATGAAAAGATTTTCTTTTCCAAAAGGGTCTTACTTTAGTAGATGGATTTGATTTGAGTTAAAGAAGTGTTTGAGAATCTATGAAAATTGTGTGCTCAGTTAGTTATTCCACCTGAACCTACAGACTTAAAAATTTATAGGATTCTCTTATGATATTTCAGGAATCTTCATCTTTGAGAAACATACCAGTGGTGATTATGTCATCTGAGAATGTGCCTGCAAGGATTAACAGGTAACGGGGAGAAAATTTTCCTTATTATTATTATTTTGTTAATTTTATTTTTCCCTACGAACATTTTTTAAGGTAAAGTTTTGATGAACAAGTCAAACTATAACAGATGCTTGGAGGAAGGAGCAGAAGAATTCTTCTTGAAGCCTGTGAGGCAATCAGATTTGAATAAGCTTAAACCCCACATGAAGAAGACCAAATTGAAAGATCAAAGTCAAGAAACAGTAGAAAAACTTGAAAACTCAGAAGTTCAACAGTCACAACAAATACAAAGTGACCAACAAGAAGCTCCAAAATCCCAAGATCTACAACCAGAGTCAGAGACACATTCACGGCCAACTATAGAACAACAGCAACAATCACTACAACAAGCCAACAATAACAAGAGAAAGACCATGGAACAGGGTCTTTCACCTGAGACTGACAGAACAAGACCAAGATACAGTGGCATAGCCACTGTGGTATGATCATAAATCATTGCCAAATAATTTTATTGAATTTCAAAATGTAATTCTCATATAACTTAAAAAAAATTAACTTCGGTGTTGGTTATTATAGGCTCTATAGGAGTGTAGTAGAGTTTTTTCTTGTACACATTTCATGGAAATATTTCCTTCCAATTTTGTTTTACCAGACATAAATGAAAAAAAAATTAAAATGAAGGAGTAAGAAATCAGATTATAAAATTCAGGTCTTGATGAATTTTGATTATTTCCCTTCTTAACAACCAATGCTCTCAAATTAGTTTGACTTAAACCTGTTAACAAACCCAATGAATCGCGATCTACGTCTAAAGCAAAATATAAACGTATAAACATCAGAAGTTTTCTTAGTGGTACAATGTTGTATTTTAAATTTACCAAATGCAATACATTGATAGGAATGTGTACATATATGCAAATGGTATCAATGAAAAGGGGATAGTTAATTTTAAAGATTGGAAATTCAAAGTTACGTACAAGGACTCCACCATGGCCACAATTAAATTAGCATATGATGGATGAACCTTTTTTGGTCATTGATATTTATTGTTGTTAATTTTAATGTTGCTCATATCTTCTTTTATTTTCTCTGTTATTTACCAAATTGATGGATGAAAAATGTTGTTTCTATTTTATTTACCAAATAAAAATTAAACAACTTTATTTTATTGTGTATAACCGTAATCCACTGTTCTCGAGTAAAAAAATTGTTTTTGGTGTTAGTCTTTCGGTCTAAACGTGCTTTTCAAAGTTTGCAGTAATCAAAATTTTCATACACCATTATTTGTTTTTGGACTTGTCAAGGGGATGGGAATAGCGTAGGCAGGCAATCCATTGAAGTCCTATGACCTAACTTCGCTTAAGTCAATTACTAAATAAGTTAGGATACTCTTTTAATTAATTAAAAAAATTCAGGCTTTAGACTATAAAAAATAGATTTAAAAGGTCAGTTTATTTAAGTAAATTTAAATTAGATATTGTTATTGTTGCTGTTAGTATTCAATCTATCATTTTAAAATTATACATTTGTTAGTCTATTTAAAGACTTGAAAAACCATTAGCAAGAAAAAAAAGACTTTATTTCTTTTTTAAAAATAGTTTTTTATTTTATACTATATTTAGAAAAAAAATAAAAAACTCTTTTTAAAAGAGAAATCAAACATACCCTTACAAAATTCTTCAATCTATCTAAAAGTAAGTTTTATGCTATTTAATAGGTCTTATATAAAAAAAATCTTTACAACAAATAAATTAAGCTCAAGTCGATCATAAGCCTGAGATAGGGGCCAAGCTTCTACAAGATGAAGTCCAGAACCCATTTTCAACCTTGTGATTCTTGTCCCTCAAAATATACTAGAGATAGGGTAAAACACGAAATTTTCAGCGAGCATTCTCAGAAAATTTTAAAGAGAATAGATTTTAGCTATTTGAGGAACACTATTTTGAAAAATTACACATAAAAATAAAATAGAGTGAGGATGCAATCACCCTCCAACAGATTCCAAAGACTATGAATAGTTCCATCTCTTACTCTAATTCGAGTGTGAACTGTGAATAGTTCCATCCCAAAAAGTGGTTGTACTATTTACTGATTACAGTTAAGCATTTTTATGTAGAACTCAAATGTCATTGTCTATCTATTAAAAGAATGTCGTTGGTTCAGTGCCTCATTGTATTAGCTTAGACTAAGGCCACTATTTGCCCAAGTAAACTTCAAACTCTATTCATCAAAACGCTTGGTCAAACTTCTTGTCAAAATGATTCAATCTATTTACTTAGAAGGCTAGGCTTAGACCTTTTTCTATAAAAAAATGTTTAATTAAAGAAGTCAGGACCTTTATAAAAACCCATTATACCTTAATTCCATTCCACAAGAATTTCCTCACAATCTTCAAAAGGGTTCTCCAACTCTTTTCCAGCTAGTAAATGATTAACAAGTCAAATAATTTTTTTAAAAATAGAGCCAATGCAAGATTTTCCTTAAAATTAAAACTAGCTCGCTATTATGATCTACTAAAAAGAGAATACACCACGATCTATCATAAGTAGTCAAGCCTCTTGCTTTCTTTAATTTCTTCTTTCAGACAACCATGCCCCACTTTTCACATGATAGATTTAAATTAAGCTAACTTCTCATCTTTTGTATTTTTATCTTTAACTTTTTAAACAATTTATATTCAAACAAAATAATTTTAACTTTTTAAAAATTATTTAACACATTTGACGTACTTGTATAGCTAATTTTATCAAACAACTCAAATTTAATCAATTGGGCTTATCAATTATAAGTTTAAATTTTTTTAAACTAATTCCACCATATTAAAATAATAAAATTTCACATTGGTAGATCAACAACAAAAAATATATTAATAATAGAATTATCACTTAAAATTGCATGTTATTTTAGACAAATAAAATACTTAAGCTTATAATTTATTTTCTTTCTTTCAATTTTCTCCCACAAGCTTGAAAAAATAGAAAGGCCCAATATTAAAAAATAAAAAAGGTTTATTGCAATTTTGGTTCGTATACTTGATTGTATTTGCAATTTTGATTCCTAAATATTAATTATTTACATTTAGACTTCTAGTTTTTTTTAATTATGCGATTTTGATTTCTATAATAATTGGTCGTATTTAGTTCATTTAATTTTTTAAATATACGATTTTGATCTCTTCAATTTTAATTTCTCACATTTAGTTCTTTAAATTTTTTAAATGTTCAAATTAACTTATTCATTAAGAATTTTACTATATTTTATACATTTTATTTTGTAGTTTTAAATATTATTTATGTTATTCTATACTTATTTGTATAAATAAATAAAATGCTATATCTTTAATATAATTAATTAATAATTTGATAAATTTTTTACATAAAGAATATAATTTAAATATTTAAAAAAATTAAATATAAATAATTAAAACTAAAGGAACTAAAATTACATATTTAAAAAATTTTAAAAATTAATATGAATAATTAAAACTAAGGAGACTAAAATCAGACATATATTAATTTGTCAAAATCCTAAGATGTAACATTTTACATCCTATTAACTACACATCTTCATTTACTTCATAATGCTTAACATATACATTCTTTCTTTTAACGCTAAAGCAGACTCACTCAAAATCTTAATATACGAAACAAAGTCTTATCAAGCCGTTGCCAAGCCTTAGTAAAATAGTTCCAACCATTAGTTGATTCATTTCCTGTGACGTTTAACATCCATAAACAATCAAAAAACAATAATAAAATCCTATAAACAGATTGTACATTCTATTCTAAATCATCTCGGGGAATTCTAACCATAGCTGATCTTTGATGGATCCTCCTTAGAAGACTTTTTTCATGAGAAACCCTCTAGTCTCATTCACCATCTTTGACAAAAAAAAAAAAGCTGGGTAATTTTCATGCCACCGAGGCACGTCAATAGAAGCATGATCAATCAAGGGATGACCCATATCCAGTGTGAAAGAGTTAAACCAGAATCTTATTGTATGGCCATTACCCGTAATTCAATTGACCTTCAGAACTTTGGCCAATTGGGAGAGGTGTTTTCAATTAACAACCATTCAAGCTTGATTATATATCATTCATGTTTTTGAGACGTCTAAATTAACCTTGGCAGCCTTAATGCTCACGTTTTCATATATTTTTCCAAAACACATGAAGTTTAATTTTTCTCCTTTGTTGAAATGAGGAATCTCATATAAAATTTCGGCAAAAATATTCAATTTAATTGCAAATGCCATCAGGAATGAATGATGATTGTTTGCATATAGTAGTAGTTAGGAAGAATAAGAAAATAGTTATTTGAGCCAAGGTAACTCTTCCTGTAAATGAAAAGAAACTACACTTTTAGCTGGATAACTACATATTTACCTTATGGATGAAAAGTTAGTAAGTTGGGCTTGAATGGAGAATAGAAACCCCTAAATTGGTCTAAGAGTAAGGGGCAGCTTTAAACATGATTAATAATAGACAATGTTAAAAAAGTATAAATTATAAAATTATTTTGATGTAAGAAAAACTATTTAGAAACACCCAAGAATTTGAACAAAAATATTAATTATAACAATCATCACTTTAATAAGGGAATGAGTTGGTAAACTGCAATTTTTAAGCAAATTTTAATAAATTAATTAATTTGATGAATTCAATCAATACATGTGTAATCAAATAAAACTATTAAATATGAAAATATAAAAAATATATATCTTTGAAATATATCTCGGATTGGTATAAATAGATTTTACTAAAGAAGTTAGATATCAATTTTTTAACATTAAAATATTAAGATTATTTTCTAATATTATTTTGATTTATTTGTTAAGATTTGTTCAAACAAATATTCTCTTTTAAAATTTTCAATTATGTTTTGTAAACTATTAATTGAATTATATATGAAAAATTTGCCCCTCTATTTCAAAAGTATGGTTGTTTTAGACATTTTTTATTTTAAACTTCTTTTTTAAAAAAAATCAAGACTTGGTCAAATTTTCTATCTATATTTTCACTTGATAATTATATGTCCGCTATCTACCAATGGCTAATTGATTCAAATAATACTTGTTTAATTTCTTAATTTTAACTCTTGCTAAAAATACGTTGTAAATGTTATTGTCTTAAATTAAACTAAGTTTATAGAAGAAATCTATTGTCAAACTAAAAGAAAAATCTGTCTCCTATCTTCTCTTTTTGTTTCACCTGTCGTGTTTCTCTTTTACAAATCATACTTCTCGTTTTTTTCCCCTCTTAAATATCATTAATGATACATATAAAAAGTTGGAGAAGTGACATTATAATAAAATAAACGATGAAACTTTAGACAGGACATACATGTATTTTACATTAATTAAAAATTTCTTAATCTATGTATACTGCCGGTAAATAATAATAGTTTTAGGGGGTATTTATTTGTTCATTAAAAATTATTATTAAAATTTCTTGAAAAAATCCACGCAATGCGCCGTGTAAACTTTATTGAGATTTTATTCTTAGATCAATAATTATTGTCATATTCATATTTATAATCCAAATCCACTTGT